AAAGAAAGAAAGAAAGAAAGAAAGAAAGAAAGAAAGAAAGAAAGAAAAGAAAAGTGCAGGTGCTGGCCCCAGGCTGATCCCCACCCAGCCATGGGGCTTGTTTCCAGTTCTCCTGGCTCCCAGACCAAAGCTCTGTCTCCAACAGCAGTCTTCTTCCTGACTAATCAGAGCTACTGTCCTCTCTTTTCCTCCTCTAATCCTGGCATCCTCAGGATATGTTCTCCTCTTTTTCAAAGGAGAACATATCTGACCTTCAAAAATGTATTCCACTGTCCTGCTTAAGTAGTATGTAGTAATGCCCTAGTGGGCAACATTTCTCAAAGCCCAAGGGACATACTAAACAACAGAATATAACTTAGTTTCTTTGAGAATGTAGCACACATCCCTAAATCTTCTCATTTCCATTTGATTACTTTCAATGACCCCTTATTCCCTCCTTTAAAGCTGCACCCCCTACTTCTTTCCAGTCACAATTTAATGCTTCTTGGAGCCTGAACAGTCTCCCCTCTGATCTTATCTGGCCATTATTCTGAAGAAGCACCTGCTCCTGTTCTCTGTACACTTACCAGAGTGACACAAAGCACAGACTCTGTAGATACCTCAAGATGTGAGTGGATGGAAGTATTGTGGCCACAGGCCTTTTTATTCTGCTCTTAGGTTCTTCCCTCAGCACATGAGACAGGGCTTGGGCATGGAGGAGTGCCTCCTAACACCCACGTGACTCTGTGACAGGTCATGACTGGATGTTCTTCAGCTGACACTCTCCACTAGGCTCAGGCCACCTGCTCCCATCTAAGAATGTGTTTGGTTGATATTGGAATGCTTGGAGAGAAGATTTGGATGAGCCATCCATGAAGGCCTCTTTTCTCTTCATTCCTACGTTGCCCTCAACCCTAATAATGTGCTAATATTAAAGGATTCTGGTTGTTCTCCCCACCACCATCACTTCCTTCTTCCTGTCCATAATAGATAAGACTAATTTTTATCTAAACTTTTGATTCTAGTGGTTTCGTATGAAATTGCAGTTTTGAGTGTGTATGTATGTGTGTTTATGTTTATGTGTATGTATATGTATGTTTATGTGTATGTGTACATGTATTTGTGTATTTGTATGTGTGTATCTGTATGTGTGTGTGTGTGTGGTACATGCACAGAATAATCATTAAAAAAAATAGAGCCCTTGTAGAGGTGGGAAAAATATTCAACATCTTCAAACTCAAATCTCTGATCTTAATATAATAATATAAATGTCCTTTTTATAGAATTATAAAATTAATTACTATGAAAAAATGTAAGTAGCCAAGATAATACATGGTTTGTCTTGACCTTCAAGAAATGAAGAGACGAATGAATGGGAAGATAGACAGACAGATAATAGAGATCAATAGGTGATAAATTTGGTTTAGAGAAACAGAGAGAAAGGAAAGAAGGTAACCTGGGTTTCTAAATGTAGATTGTGCTGTGTTAAAGTTGCAGGTGCCTTTTAAGCAAGATGATTCTGTTACCCTACATGTTATCTTTTCCTCCCTGTGTACCTCAGTGAGTTTGGCATTGTGAATATATAGAAAAGTATAGGAGAGGACTAATGAGAGAACCACTGCCTTAAGTTATACCATGAGAAGAATCTGCAGTTTGAAAAACAAAAATCTGAAGGGATGAATGGGCCTTGAACTGTGACTCAGAGTAATACAACTGGTAGATGTGAAAATAGTCAGTGTGTAATTTGAACTGTTTTCACTGTTGCATTATAAATCTTCTGTGGTCAACTTCCTAGCTTCTAATATGATTTGAACTCTATTATATCGATGTGTTTTAGGAAGCTTCTACTGTAGTAGGTGTTCATTTGACCACTTTAAGTCTTTAGTGTTATTTATCTATCCACATTTGTGCATCACCTTGTCCTCCCACCCCATCACATTTAACCCTTTTTGTTCCATTAGTCACCATCTCTATTCATACTATCTGTGTTCTATCTTCCCTGCCTTTAAAGGCCCCTGAACACACGAAAACAGAAGGAGGGAAATCTCAAGGATACCACCCCTAATTAAAAAACAAATACAGGCAACTAATGACTCCTGAAAAGAAGAGAATTAATTCTTTTAAGGAAGAGGCCCATGAGTGCTTATTAAATACAAAGTGGTCAGCCCTGAGCCATATACACACAAACAAAATTGAAAGTAAGTAACATGTTATATCTTATATTTGTTGTATGTGTAATAATAATTGTAATAATAATATTAAAAGGAGCTATCCATTTTAGAATGAGGACCATGGTGGAGAGACTGGAAAGAAGGAAGAAAGGGGAAAAATTTATATTTTAATTAAAAATGTAAAAATAAAGGCAAATTTTAAAAATCCAAAGCTAGCATCCAGGTATGAAAAGGACATGTAGCATCTGCCTTTCTGGGTCTGGGTTATCTCATTCAGTGTAGTGTTATCCAGCTCCATCCATTTACCTATAAATTTCAAAATTTTATTTTTTAACAGTTAAATGATATTCAACTGGACAAATTTACCTCATTGTCATTATCCACTTATCACATGGTAGACATCTAGGGTTTTTCCATTTCTTAGATATTATGAGTAGAGCAGCAATGGACATGGATGAACAAGCTGCTTCTGTAGTAGAATACAAAGTACTTTGGCCATATGTCCAAGAATTATATAGCTGGATCATGCTAAATAAGAATAATAAATGTAATCTTATATAACAATCTACTATAAAATAATCTAACATTTCATGATAAGCCTGAGGCTTATCAAATGTCCTCTTCAAATCCCTAATGCCATGACTACTTTTTTATACTTAGTGCACTTCCATTTACATTGTAAAGACTTTTTATTTTTAATGGCTGGAGATTTGAATGTAAAGGAAGAAAGGTCAAGATTTGACTCTAGTGAGCTGGGAATGTTCTGAGGGAAAGGCCTGAGCTTCTTTGATTTAGTGATGTTCGGTGCTGGAAGAGGGGGAAATGGATACGTTAACTTTCCTCTGCCCCAGAACACAGTATTTAACAAATTGGAGATATGTTTGGTCATAATAACTGTCATATTTGGGGTCAGAGATTCTCCTAAACACTGTACCATTTACCATAAATCCACCTGCCAGTAGAATTATTAAAGGGCCATTAGGGACAGTTTACAGTTAGACAATATGGTGCTGATACAGATCCCTGGCATGGGCCAAGATGACTAACATTAGACATGGTGGGTGAGTATGAGGCAACATGAAATGATTGTCATCGGATGTCTAGGAAACCCAAGAATCGACAATTATATTGTCTGTTAGACAGCTGTCCCTGACAAAAGGGTCACGTTTGTGAGATTCTGCAGAGGCCTTTCAAACGCACCAGCCTGGCTGTGTCTATATGTCTGCCTGCATGTGGTCCACATAGGCCACCGGCATGGGCTTATCTAATAGCTTGGATGCAGTAAATAAAATATGTCATGCTTATTTATCTGGCACGCCTTGAAATCTCTTCAGCCTCCCAAGCTCCTGTGATCGGTCCTCCATTCTTGGTATCAGAGCTTGGATCCTGCTCACTGGGATGAGAAGCAGCACGTTGCCTTAAGAGGAATGAGATGATGCTCCTAGATTACTGACAGGATAAAACAAGCCTCTGAAAAATGCTAGAGAGATACAATGGAAGTGGGTGATTCATTAACCAGCCTTGCCTTTTCCTCCAGGCCACGTAACGCCAGAATACCACTCAGAGATTAAAGATCCAACTCAGTTGCAAACCTAAATATTGTTTCTAATTGAATCAAAGCCTCTACTCTCTGGCATATTGTCTTCTTCAGCTGACCCAGAAAACCATCTAAATGGCAAAGTTGCTACGCAGGACCAAAGTGCAGATGAACATTTGCAATGATTGTTTTATTCACTGTCCTTTAACCTTAAACACTCATTAAAGTAGATGAACTTTCTGCTTCATGAATCATTTTTTTAATTTTTTCTTTTCTTTTTTGCAGTGAATAATAATAATAATTATTATTATTATTATTGTTTATTATTATTAGTTACATTTTATTAACTCTGTATCCCAGCTGTATCCTGCTGCTCCTTTATTCCCTCCCAATCCCATCCTCCCTCCCTCAGCTTCTCCCTGTCCCTTTCCAAGTCCACAGATTGGGAAGGACCTCCTCCCCTTTTGTCTGGCCCTGTTTTATCAGGTATCTTCAGGGCTGGCTTTGAAGTCCTCCTCTGTGGCCTAGCAGAACTGCTCCTCCCTTGGGGGGTGGGGAGTCAAAGAGCCTGCCATTGAGTTCCTGTTAGAGATAGTTCCTGTTCCCCTTACTATGGGAAACCATTTGGTTATTGAGCTACCACGAGCTTCGTCCGAGTAAAGGTTCTAGGTTATATCTATACATGGTCCTTGGCTGGAGAAACAGTTTCAGGAAAAAACTCCTGTGCCCAGATATATTTGGTCCTAGTGGTCATTTTTTAATTTTTACTAATTACAGTTTATT